AGGTAGTGATGGGGAGATACAGATACTATAAGGTAGGATTTTTTCAGTCAGTCTGTACTCTTGTTTTTATCCATCTGGGAATCCTATATTGCTGCTTTGTGGCTGTTCTTTTTAGTGTGTTTCACCAAGGCATATCCTTTCTGTATAAAAGATTCCTAAAAATTAGGGCCTTATTCCGTAATTGCAGCCTCCTGTTGCTTTTCCTGCATAAGAGCTACTAATCCTGTTATATTTTGCCTGCAAAAGGATGAATGATCTTTCAGCATTGTCTGAATTAAAGGAGCTGTTGTGAGCTGAAACAGCCTGATGTTAGGAAGAAATCTGGCTGGGGAGGAGGAGTGGATAAATCCTTTTTTTCCTTACCCAGGGTGGGGAGCAGAGTTCATCAGTGACTGCTGCTCTGCCTTTACAGATCTAATCCTTTTCCTATCACAGGTGACTGAAAAGCAAGAGGCATCTCTGTGATAATAGTGTATTTGGGCTTGCTGTTGCCACATCTGATTGTTCTTTCTCCCTCATCATCCGGTGATGTGGTAGAGCAAGTGCTGTGTCCCTGAGGCACAGCCTGTGGGGACACTCATATTTGTTTCCTCCACCAACAGTCAAAAAAAGGAATCGTTTGTGCTCCTGCTAACATTGGTTGTGCTGATCCTATGCCTTGGATTAGCTGTGGTTGCAAGGAATTCTCTTTCTGTTGAGTAATAACTATAAAATGCAGTGGAAGGAGAGAAGAATGATCCCTACAGAGAGAGGTTTATGATAGTGTAGGCAGTGCAAGCAGTTGGCCAGAAGGGATCATGCACTTAGCCTAACTCTTGGTGCTCTGCTAGTTGTTAGTAATGGACTGTGAAATTTTGCAATTGTAGTATAGACAGCACTGAATTATGTAAACTACACCTTTCACAAAAAAACCCCCACAACAACCTTTCAAATGCGTTGAGCTTTCTGGTTTTTGGTTTTTTTTGAGATTAGCTATTATATTGACATTTTAGAACTTCACCTTTACTTCATGATACAGCATGTTGCACACAGGATGCTGTGCTACTCTGTGTGCTGAGACACCAAACTGCTTCAGGCAGAAACTATGAACATGTTTGGAGAAGATAATTTTAATTAGCACAGTTAAAACCCCAGCCATATTTGACTTAAATTATCTAAATGTTGTTACACTCTGTCCAGAGAAAAATTGTTTTCCCACTGATAAGAAACAGTGTCTGATAACAGCAGTGTCTGTTCCACCAGTAAATATTTGCATATAGGCTAGTACAGCAAAGATTTCTTCTTTTTCCCAGCAGCCGACTTTGCCCCAGCAGTGACTTGAAGCCCTTGTTAAAAAACAAGCTAGTAAGGACCTTTGGATGCCAGTGTGCCATCTGTTCTAACTGAACAGATGTTCTCGGGACAGGGCTGATACTCTTGGAAGAGGTGCCAGGTGACAAAAATAGATGTATTTTGTAAGGCAGATAGAAAAGAATGTTGTGTCTTTCCAGCTGGTATTTTGTTTTGTAGTTGTGGCAGATTCAAGTTGAGAACTCAGAGTAGTGGATGCTTTCTAAATATGAGCCATAGAAGTGTATCTTGCTCTCACTATTTGGTTTGATATCCCTAGGAGACAAGATACTCAAGCGTAAGAGGACTGCTTGTGTGTTACCACGCCGTTCAAAGCAGCTAGGAAGCTGTTTGTAGTAAACACCAGGTGCTCATAAATGACTGAAGTGTCTTGTTATTTTGGGAAGTGCTATGAAGTATTTTTAATATATTTTTTTTTAATTGGATGAACCATGATATCAGAAACAAACGTTTTTGTTGCTGGTTTCATTTGTTCGGAGTGAAAAATTGAGGCACACAGTTATAATGCAAAAGTAAAAAATTATTTGTTACGTATGTGTATACAGCATGTATATACTCCACAGGATTAGATATATTCCAAACTTAAAGCATCTCAGTAAATCACGTAAGAAGGCTTTATGTATTAGATTAAAAAAAAAACAAAACAAAACCTAAACACAAAAACCACCAACAAACCAATACACTATTGTGAGCATTTAATTGACAAAATACTACTCTGTTCTTAGCTTTGCAAAACTCATTGCCTTGCTTTTCAGCAGCAATAATATTTAATTGACTTGTATAATCACTTATGTACCAAAGTTGAAGAGTTTCTTTCCAATTTTACTGCAAACTATTAAGTTTGTAGAGGTGCTAGATTGAAGTAAGGGGCTTGCATTGAAGAACTTTCTTAGAGAAACCACTGATGACTTCCAGAATGTCTTCACTTAAGGTGGGTTCATATTGAAATAGTTGTCTTTAATCTCTTAATTTTTATAGCTGAGTCTTAGAGACAAAATTCATCCTGCTCAATAAATTGGTTTGGCTTTATAAATCCATATATTTCCTGTTCATCATGTCCAACCCTTGTGGGTTTTCTTTTGAGTAGAGATGGAAATTCTGGCTCTGAAAAATAACGATATAATCTCAGCTGCATTAAGGACTAGTTCTTTCTTCTTTTTCGACTGTAGTGTAATGGTGTTGAGGTGGATATAGAAAAGCATTCATCCCACTGTAGTGGGAAAAGCAAAGGAAAAAATTTCATGACACAAAATACAGTGATAGTTCCTGATATCACTTTACACTGCATGACAGGACATATGTCACTAAGAGAGGCTTACACTGAAATAGGTTTGTGCTGGTGCCTCTTAATTCAGCCAGTCATGTGTATAACTGTAATACAGAACAATATGTGACAGTCCCAAGGTATTCTGTGAGCACCCGAAGATAACTTTGAAGTTACCTTGTCTGGATGGAGCAATCCAGGCAAAATAAATTTTAGATTCCTTAAGCCTTAAGGACTTGTATTACTTACAGGAAGAATCATGACTTGGTATCTTTCCTAAGTTTTATTAGATCACTGCCCAAACAAACAAAAAAGCTAAAGTGATACCACCAATTTAGGATTTTTTAATGCTAATATCGATCACTGTGCACGAAAAATGAAGCAAGATGACTGTTAAATCGATTAACAGCTGAGTGGTCGATCTTAATCCAAGCAGCACTTAGCTTTGCCATTCCTTGCCTCCCAGGGGAGTGCAGTACCATCTTTTAACATAACTTCCTTGAACAAGTATAGGATTAATGGATTGACTTACTAGAAATTGCAGATGTGATAAATTTTATTGCCCCTAAACTTTCAAACCTAGTTGTATCAGACACTTTTTTAGGGGCAACAGCTGAGAGAATTTTTGAATGTTTGCTGTGCTTTTTATTGCTTGTGGAATGTACTCATGAGTGAGCATGGAACAAGATATATTAACCATATCAGTGAACTATTTTAGGATAAAACCTGATTTTAATATTTCACATTTTACTTTTCCTCAAGAAGCACTATTTATCCAGTCAATGTGTCCTTTTCAGTAAAGATACAATACTTGATGTTGTCTGGCAAGGAACACACTCAACATTCTTCGTGCATCTTTGGCCAGAAATTGGCATGCATTATTTGATGTGTAGAAGTGTTGAGTTTGAGGCTTTGGGTTTTTTTTTAATCATTCATATCTCATTTTACTATTGAAGCTATCCAGTTCATTAAGCAAAAGAAATATTCCCTGAAGGAGATAAATTGGACTTGGGGGCGGGGAGTGAAGTGGGGGCGTAACAGTCTGGAACGATTTTTAGAAATAATAAGTCTTGTCATCTTATCTGGGTTTAAGTTATAAATTAAAAGAGGAAAGATGTGCTTCTGCCCATTTTTTCTCAACAGGCAAGCAGGAGTTTGAACTGAACTAGACTGAATGGAAAAAAATACTTTCAGAGTTACAGAAGAGGCCATAGTTGTGAGGAGTTGGTTCCTGACTTCAGCACATCATGATATTGGGATTTAAGCAATGAATTCTTTGCTTTCATTGTTACAACTCACAGTAAAACTTTGACCAGAAGTGTGGACTGCTTGACACTTGTCTAACTGATTTTAATTGTTGATGATATGTCTTGGTCTTAATAGAGTTTGTTGTAATTTCAAATGAAATTTAAAAAATTGTAGAGCAATACAAGTAAAAATATCTTGAAGTCTATTTAAACTTTAAAAAAAATACCCATGTTTTCACTTTTTTTTCTTCTGCTCTCTTTCAAAAACATAAAAGACAACATAGTCCAGGATGCCTCCCAGATAATAAAAAGAGAAATTTTTTTTCAGTGATTCAAAAAAAACCTGATGGGAGATTAGATGATACCTGATGGCAGCTGATGCTGGGATCCCTCAATCTGATCACAGAAACTCTAGCTTAACCCTTCCCTTATGTGAATTCCTGATACAAATATTTATAATAAATTTGTAGTAAATGCTTTCTTCATTAAACATCTCAGTTAATTTTTTACTTTGCTTCCAAACTGCGATGTTGTTGGTTCATATTCAGTTCAGTTGTTGTCCTCAGTTCATTGTGAGACACAGAGCCTGGATTTTGTGAAAATGAATAGAAAGCCTGAAACCTGTTTAATCTTGGAAATTTAACGAGAATTATATTCCCATATTATATCAGAATTATACTCCCATATTCTGTATTTTAAATGCACAGAGATCAAGGGAAGTTTCTCTGTATTCTGCCGTTACAAATGGGAGTTGAACAGGTGAATGGTAACTGTTACCTGCAGTTACCAGCAGGTCTAAAGTTATCATCAAGCTATCTTGTTTGAAGTGCTACAAGAATTGCAGCATTTTGTGGTGTTTGTCTTAATGATGTACCTAAATTCTAAATGAGCTTTTCATTCAAACTGCTTTCAGAGCTATGAATTCTTTAGTAGAGAAATGATGAAATCATTGATACTGAAGTTTGTTTCAAGAAACTTGTTTATAAATGCAGTTGTTATATACAAAGCAAATCTGAATTAAACTTAAAAAACAATTCTTAGGTTTCTGAAAGAACAAACCACTTAGTAAACACCCTAATACCTAGGACATTATTTACCTTTACTGTTTTGGAGGCTAATCCTACAATTATTTTACACAGGTTTCACCTGGAACATCTCGTCCAAGTTACCCAGCTACCAGCTATCAGGACTCCAGCAACTGGGAATCTCTAATGAAAATTAAAGAGGGGCTGCTAAGACAGAAAGAGTTTGTGATTGATCGGTGAGTAACCTGCTCCTGCTCCATTCATTAGATGAGATGATGTAAAAGCTACAGTGTAAAAGCTGACTTTCGGGAGAGCTGCTTACTCATACAGTTGTTAGGCTTCAATCCAGCCACTATTTATGTGCAAATACGTGGGAGCTAATCCTTGCTAGGAGAGAAGACTGGCAGCTGGCTAAAAGTCTTTTACAAAGTTGGAAATGTATTTAGGGGGTTTAATGCCTCTGGAGTGGAAAAGGGAAAGTGATACCAAGAGTCAGTTCTGCTGTCAGCTTCCCCTCTTAGCTTCTTCCTGGTCTGGGAGTTTGTGTCAGACATTTTTCTGCTTGTACAGATCTTGCAGGTGACTTGCAAGATGAAAACTGGTCAGTTGCATGGTGCTGATTTGCTTTTCCATGACAAGTACAGGAAGGCAATATATTTGATGCCAGTTCATAAAGCTTTGAGAAACTGGCCTTAGCAGTAATGTTCAGCAGTAAAATCCTATTCGGACACTGATACAAATTGTTCAAATAATAAAATATAAAATCCAGGAGTAAATACATAGCTTCTTACTAAAATTGCTGTCAGTCCGAATGGGCCTCTTAATGAGGAAAATATGCTTTTAATAAGAGCCTGAGCTTAATGAAGACTACACTAAAATAGATGTCACCAGGCACTGCAGAGTTTGGATGTAAGACATTTAAGGAGGATATTTTTATATTTGACATAATGGTAATTTGGCATAGTCTGTGTTTCAATAATAAACTCTTGGCTCATGGCTGAAAGAAGAGTGATTGTTCTGATCTTGATATAGTTGTGCTCTTGTTATTGATAGTTTGCTCCACAACACGAGGAGAACTGTGTAAAGCAGGTGATCACAGTAATGTTAGGCATCCATTATGAATAGTTTTATATTTCATTTAGTAATTTCTATCTTTTTATGGGTAGAGATAGGTAACTTGGGCATAACTTACTTTGGGACCAGGAGAATTACACTTGTGCAAGATCTGTTCATTCCATTATTGCAACAGAGAGAGGAATTGCAGTAGTATAAGGTGTTTCTGTCCCTTAGTAGTCTGACCAGTAACTCTGCTGGCATTGCACTGTTGAAGGTTGGGATCCTCTTCCCCAGTGGGATGTGGGAGGTTAGTGTGTGTTTACCTGCTGTGGTGGTACACAGTGGGCACACTGCCAGCTCTCCTGCGGGGGGTGGTCATCTCCCAAGGGGGTAAGCAGTTAAAATGGAAACATCCTTAGCTGTTGTTTACATCTCCTCTGTCAGAGCCTTTTGATCTGCTGCTTAGATCTGCTGTCTGTATTACAGTGGTTTTTTCAGGCTTGCTGTATCAATAGCAGCAAACCTGCAGCCTTCCTCCTGGGGCCCAGGCTGTCAGCAGCCTTTGTGAGTACATGGCCCTTGATGTCTGGGGCAGTCTTTGGTGCCTCTGCTGAGCTTATGTTCCTCTGCACTCTACGTGAAGGCTTGTTCCACAGTGGCAACTAAAAATGCAGTTCGTGTTGCTCTTGTTACGCTGGAAGTGTGTTTGCAGTCAAGGGTGAAGTTTCTGAAGTGACAGTTTGTAACCTGATTTCCTGCTAACATTACTTGATACTAGTCATGTTGAGGAAGAAAAGCTGTTTCTTGACATCCAGTGGCAGTGTTTTGTTCTTTTTTTTTTTTTGTATAAGTCATTATTTTTGAGTGTCTTAATGATGGTGAATACAGTTCTTTCTAGATTTCTGACCAGAAGTCAGTTTAGATCATTTCTTTTCATTCAGCTGAAATGGCAAAATATACTCTGGAAGCTATTGAAGTGACACAAAGGCCACTTAGTGATGTTACAGTGTTTCATTTAAGTAGACAGTTGGTGTAAGAGTTAAGCATGTTGTACTTTATAATAATGCAGTATAACAATACATCACAGAACAGGCTCTTTTTTGAATATTGAGCCTCCATTTGGACAAAATACCTTAAAAGTTATTTTAAAATTAAATAAAAACATTTAAAATAGATGGTTTGTATTATTTAAGATTAGTACGAATCGATGTTGCATATTTACAAAGTTTTACAATAGATTCTTAAATTTTTTTTGTTAAAAAGAGGTTGTGTCTTCTATGACAAATAAAAATACTTTTGGTTTCACTCATGAAGCTGCTGTGCAAAAATCTTGAAATAGAACTCCATTAAAAAGTACTAGTGTTATATTTATCAGATCAATTATTAGTAAGACTTAAGTGTGAATCCTTTCTTCAAGGCACTAAGTGAAAATTTACCTTGTGGACATACAAAACCTTGCACTGAGATTCAAGATGATATCTGGGAGTAAACCTAAATCTTCCAGCTCCTAGTCTTCCTGATCTTACTTTAAACTTCTTTTCAGACTTTGAATTTGTTTGGGAATAGTGACCTAAAATAAAAATATAAAGTTTGCTAAAGTGTGGTCAATTCAAGATGGTAGTAGTTAAATTACAGAATTTATGCTTTGAGGAAATGGAGGAGGAGTTAGTTTGTTGATTGGGATTAGGTAGTAGGTGTTTGTTGAGAAGGCCCTTTGTACCTGTGGTTCCAATGGAGTTTTAGAAGGTGTCATGTCCTTAAGTCATGTCTCATGCTGAATTTACAAACTGGTAGCTGGGAGATGCCAGCAAGACTTGTTTAATTCTGGGGGAACAGAAGCTCAGGAGAGATGGGTTATGCAGTGGGACAGCAGCTGGCATAGTGCTCCAGAACAAGCTGTTTGCTGCTGGCAGGTACAAGGAGCAGCTGGATAAAAAGATGCACACTGGGAACACCATTCTCCAGCACTTGTCACCAACCTCCCTTTCACCCACAGCGACATTAGCCATTTTTTTAAGGTTAAACACTCTTGCTGGGAATTGTACTGGTGTCCTACTTATGTAGGAGATGGAGGAGATTAACATCACACACCTTGGTGCTTGAATCTGTTCATTAGTAGGGAGTGGATGCTCTGTACAGGGTAGTATCCTTAAGCTGTTCTACCTTTATCTTGTTAAAAAAGGGAGGAAGGGCAGGAGAAGGAAGGCGAAACATGCTGCCTGCTTCTCTTCTTTCCTCACAAAGATAAAAAGGCAAAAAAAATCTGGCCCTTCCAGATTAGATTATTAAACTTCCTTGTTTGGCATTGGAAATCTAACAAGTAGGAATAGTTGCAAGTAAGTTTCAAATAGCTATAAAAACAATTCAAGGAATAATGCTTTCAATGTAAATCATCATATTTGTATACTTTGGCGTGTCACTGGAAATTCAGGCTGTAAGTAGAGTTTTAAAACCCAAACAGCCCCTGGCACCTGTGAATAGAATAAATGGCTCAATTTTTGTTCTGTACAGTGTTGAACAGCAGATGTAGTAGTAGGTAAATTAAAATTGATTTTATTTGTGTAGTCTTTTCACCATAACAAAGGCATTTATTTAAGTAGTACACAGTAGCATAAAGGAGTGGGTTTAAAAGTAGTTTTGGTTTGCTTTTTAAAACTACTCTAGAAGTCACTTCTAATTTAATTAATAAAAACCTGAAATGGTTTTTAAGTCTGCTCTGAAAAAAATGAGGAGAAGATGGTACTTTTAGGAAGTGAAAACGTGGCATAAGGAAGTGAGCCTGCTCTGCGTGCACGTGTCCATGGGATCTCAGTGGCACTTCTTAAAGATGTGTGTCATGTTTTCTCCACATAAGAATTGTTGGTACAGGCCTTGAATGAGGACTTAAGGATTTGTCTGTAAGAGGAAATATGCTGCTGTAACACTTTAGTAGAATGTCTGTCACCTAGTATACGAAAATAATTGGATTATATCATTGCCTTACTTCTCTGGCGAGTTAGGATGTAACACTACATTATGTTTAGCACCAGAGGGAGCCAACATTGTTTGTATTGGTTTAGAAAATTACACCATCACATTTTAATTCTTTAGGTTGCTCCTTTGTTCAGTACATAACAACACTGAAATTACAGTGTTTGGTACAATGGCGAATGTCTCTTGAGACTGCACTGCCGCTGTCGATGTCTCTAGTGTGATCCTGGCAGTGTTTATGTGGCAGGGGCTGCAAATAGGGGGTACATGAATAAATGCTAAATATCTGAACAAATGACATAAGATGCTGAGAATACCATTGTGCATGCAATGTTCTCTTCTAGTCAGCATAAGGGCATTTGAACAGCTTTTTAAGGAAGGGTAGATAGAGAAGTACAGTTTTAGTGAATAGCTGTTATTCCTCAGGGCAAAACAGCATTTACATTCTTAAAACAGTTGCTAAATCCTTAACTTTTAATCCATAGCAGAATTAGGATTAGATGTTTTTACTGGGACAAGAGTATTAAATATTCTTTGCCATATATCAAATTGTCCTGACCTCAGTAATTGACATCAAACTGTATGTGCTCTGGTAATGCTTGTTTTAATGCTAGTGTAAAGCTGTAATTCTTTTTGTTTGGACGGCTTCTTAAGATCTGCAACATTAGCATATCCACTTGATCATGTCTTGACTCCCAAAAGTAGTGTTCCCATCTTCTCTTCAAGGTGAGTTCTGCTGTGACTGGTGGAAAGGTTCACTTAGAACTGCAGTCTCCTAACTTCACCAAAAAAGCAGACTTTATTGCATAGGAAATTTGAGAGTATCTTTTCTCATTAGCTTTGCTGATGTTGGAGTTCTTTGGCATTATCTTCCAAATTCCGGAAAATGTATTCACATTGTTTTTAGGACTTTGTTTACAAAGGATCTCTTTCCCTATCAGTGTTCTGCACGTTTGGACTTGTGGTCCCAAGAGATTGTACCTCTAAAACAAAGGGATATAAAAATTTGTATCTAACTTGTTAAGCAACAAAACAAAGCAGCATACCTCCAGCTGCGGTGTGGAATAAATTGTATCTGTAATAGAGAGGGATCTGTATTGTATTCTACTTTGCATCTCAATTCTGAAGAAGTCTGCCCACACATTTTCACCTAAAGCAGCAAATTCTCATAACCTCGTGACTTTTGAAGGTAAGCATTAATTGTAATTTGATTTCTTATGAAGTTACTAGTGTCCCTTCTGTGGTGGAGGAAGCTCTGTTCTAAAGTCCCTGAGGTGTTTGAAGATACTGGATCTGTATCTTGACTTGAAGTGTGGGATTTAGATTTACGCTAATTAAAGAATTAAAATTAAGAAAAACTTAAAAGTTGAGGGGAGAAAGTGCTACTCTGGCAAATGTTTCTAAAGGCTCTTTCGTATTAAAGTATGGGGTAAAGTGGGCTTATGGAGAACAGATGAATTGGTCCCACATTCAAGAAAATGTGATTTGTTTCTAGATAAATGCATGTATGAGTGTCTGTATAAGCATGTGTCAATGTTTGTCCTGTTGTGAATGTGAGAAAATGATGTGAATGTCAGTTATGTTGTACTAATATTTTTGAGACTTAAGGAGAAGCAATTTGTATATTAAGCAGTTTATTAATGCTGGTCTCTGGAGACAGTCCAGGCTTGTGGACATTGAGCTGAACTCTGTTGTCTGGGATCCCGTGTCCTTTGTACTGACTTGAGTTTTCAAAGGGGATTGTTTGAGCTAAAGGACAGAACTGCACTTGAATCAAAATAGAGATCTTCCCCTCTTCCCATCAATACATCACTCTTACAGCTCTAACTTTGGTTTTACTCCTTTAAATGGATTCAGTTAGTGTCAAGTAGCACCAGTAATTTTCCTCTGAGTTCTAGACAGCTTTGTAAGTAGAGTCACAGGATGGGGGGAGCGTGGCTGCCATTTCATGGGACATAGCATGTTGTCTTCGATGTGCTTGTCTGCAGAGAACAGTGGCACAGGGCATGTGTCCCACCAGAAACAGCCCCTTGCTGTCCAGAGGCAGACAGACTGCAAATTTAGCAGACCCATAATTGAAAGCCTTTTTTGGGCATTTCCCTGCTGTTTTCTGAGCCTGACTTGAAATACAAATGTCCTAGTGAGGTGATGCTCATCACTGAAGCCAGCACTTGTCCTGCCTTTCTCCCTTCGCTGATGAGCAGAAGAAGAGCACCAGCTCTCTCGGTTGCACAGCAGTGCCAGTGTGGGCCACAGTGGAGGTCCCTGTTCCAGCTGTGGCAGCTGGGCCAGGCGGTACCTCTGGTGTGCCATGGAGGGGAAGGAGGCTGAGGAGCTCAACAGAAACTTGATGGCCTCTAGATGCTAAAGGCTGATTGTGTCTGGTTTTGGTTTTTTGAAGTGGTGGGATGATTGATTGGTAATAAGGAGCTTCTGGGGACAATGTTCCCGCTGTAATAGGCGAGCTGTGTTTTTGAGAGCATTTGAACTTTCTACGCTCCCTTTAAATAAAGGGTTATGCAACAGAGTAACAGTAACAGGGATGGGCTAACAGATTATTAAAACTGTCTTGGCATATGAGAGTATCAGTGACAAAATGCATTTGGTATGAAGTCTCCAAAGACTTAAAGGATTGTATGTAAATAGTAAATATGTTTGTGTGGTGTTTATCTTCTCCTTGTGACTGCTGCTGTTTTCAGAATTTTTGTTTCTGAGTGCCATGAGGTTAATGTTGTTTTCACAGAGGTAGTTATGCAGAGAAGTTGAGCAGGATTTACACAGCCTTGAAACATTTCTATGGTGTGTTTTGTTGGCAAGATTTTATAACGGTGGAGAGTTTCATGCTTTGCAGAGTGAAAAGAAGCAAGCTAGTTAAATTCTGTGCTCTGTCTCATCACGGATTAATTTGTCTCACCTTTTTTCCTGCAGGGATTTGGTAGGGTAGGGAAAGGATTATGAAAGGAAATATGGTAATGTAGTCCAAACTACACTGGAAGTTCAAAAATATCTTGAAACATTTACTCTAGGCTGTAGCATTTAGTTTAGGCTACTGAAATCCTGCCTGGTAAAGAAGGCACTGCTAAGTTACAGTCAGCCGTAAACAGAAAATCACATAATGCTTTCAAGAGGTGACAAATGGGTAAATAATTTTAAAGCACATGGAGCAAAGAAATTTTAATACATCTGTCTAGTAAGTAATAAGGTGATAAAAAATTAAAATTTGCTTCAGTTCATAGGTTAGGATAACTCATACTAAGTAATTTTGGTCTCTGTAACCAGGCATGCACAATAGTTGTCAAGGCTTTATATTTTCTCATATGAGTATAATAACTCTTGGGCTTATAAAAGGTCTGTTACAAGTTGAGAGCCTATTCTTTTACCTAATCTTTGAATCTGCTTCTTCCAAAATAAGTTGGAAGCTTTTTGTTTGTAGTGCCATGTTACAGATACCAACCAGAACTGTACGAAGTTTTTCAGTGTTGCATACTCTGTTTATATTTGTACAAGCTTGTTCTGTCTAAATAGTGGAATGGCAAAAGTAAGCCTCAAAATGACCTGTGCTGATAGAAAGTATTTTAAGGCTTGCTATGGAGTCTCATAAATACATTCAGTTTCTTCCTTCTTATGAATCACGTTGAATGAATACTTCTAAGATACTTCCAAATGGCAGCTTATATATACTGTTTTTCCATTCATTGCTGTTCTTTATAGATATAAAAATAGGGAAAAATTAAAAAAAGGTGTTCTGTAGGCATGCATCATGTCTTCTATAACACATCTAGCTGAGAAAAGGCTAACTTCAATATATTCAATATTTTTCAAATATGAAATTCCTCTTATAAACCAAATAATTGGAATACAGTTGACTGATAACTAGCTAGAAGAATATGGGTAGCTAAAATAGTCCCTTTAATTGGGCTTTTTGCATCTTATTTTTCCTATTAAAATTTGCAGTTGGCATCTTTTCAACTAATACATGTTTCATGTTTGTTTATAAATTGTATAATACATGTTTTGTATACTCATAATAATATTTCCGAGATGCTCTTCATAAACCCAACCCTCCCCAATTTTAAAAAAAGCCACAGGCTTTGATCTTTTTTCTATGCTTTGCAGGATTTGCTTTTCCAGTATGTGTGCAGGCAGGTCTTCTCCCTTGAAGTTAACTTGCATTTGCTTTTTATCTCTTTTTTAAAATTGGGTTTAGACATCTGGGTTCAGCATCATGGTTTACAGAAAAGCCAGTCCTACTGCTTGCTTAGAGATGAAACTTTGCAAAACAATTGCAATGCTTGCATGCAAATATATCCTCAGATAAAAAAGAAGGAAAAATGAAAATTAATAGAGTGCACAAAGTTGGTTTTGAGTTTATTGAGGAGGTTGCTCTGTGTGTTTCTGATGGCTGCTGACAACTCCGTTCTGGAGTCAGCTGTTGAGGTGCCCATTGCTCCGTGGAGAGCACTGTACACCTCGCAGGGCTGGGACTTGGGCTAGGGTGGAGACCTGGCTTGTCTTTGCCCTGCAGTCATGCTAGTTCAAGTGCAGTCATGATTTAAGCAGTGATATCATTTGTGATATAATTAAATAGTAATACTGTTTCTGCTGTACACTGGCCAAGCAATTGGTGTAAGAGTTTAATTCTCCTTTAGTACACAAGCACTATTATTTTACACAAATATTTTACCCTAGGGTAGGGTACATCTTGCGTAAAGCAGTTGACTGAGAAAGTCTTAAGCAAAGCAAAAAGAAAGACCTTACAGGAAAGCTGTGCTGACTATCTTATATAATAACCTTTTCTTCATAAGTCCTTTCTGCTTCCCTTGATTTGTAAATCTTTTTACTGGTTGGAAAATCAGCTCTGGCAAAGAGAGGCTGAACAGAAGTCCAAGTAAAATGAAAGTGTGAGTTTTGTTTGTTTTCATTCTGTTTTCTGTATACTTTCCCCTGCTTATACTTCTGGCCCTAGCATCAAATGACAACAGAAGCCTCCCTCGACCCCCACAGAATTGATAGAATTTTTAAGTTGCATTTCTACAGGATTTGCTTATTATTATGAACTGAGCACAGACCCTTTGGGTTTACTTAAGTGAAAGTCACAAGTCACATGGTAACTGTAGTTTTAGTGTTCATACTCTGATGAGGTTCCAGTTCTAGTGCTAAATTAGTCTAATTGCAGTCTGGCTGCAGTGGGAAAAAGCCCACAGCTAACACAGATCCAGGATAGCTGAATAACACTGTTAGTGTATTCTTCGGTACAAGTATTAAGATCAATGTTTTTTTTTAATCTCCATTCAGTCCTTTTGAAATAAGATTTGTGTATTACAGGCAAAATCAGCAAATTAACAGTTTACATCAGAAGATAAGGGAGAATGAATTACGAGCTCAGCATGCAAGACTGAGCCATCTTGTGAACTGCGAAGAACCTTACGTGGCTAATTTACAGGTAGGATGAATATTTTTCTTTCATCAAAGTTGCCCAGCAACTGGCACCTCAACGCATGCTCACAATTTACTGCAGGCTAAAATGTAGAGCCTTTGTGATTATTGATGGCTGTGTAATTGCATAGCAGAGAATTGTATAAAGAATACCCTCTTAAGTTTGTAGTTTACCTTATATTTGCAGAAATATAAATATTGTTAAAATTTTGTACATACTTGTTTTGAATGATAAAAATGAGATGGGAATGAGGGATTAGGACACTGTAAGAGTAAGGGTTTAACAGAGTGCATGTATCGTAGTCCTACAGGTAGATATTAGGAGATAAAGTAGATGATAGGAGAGTATCTGAAAACAACTAATGGAAGGTTTTCTGAAGAGGAGGAGGTAGCCCTTTGCATGGTTAGATTGTATCACTAGAATAGATGGAAGAGATGTGAGAAGGCAAACAGACTGGTGGGATACCTTTTGACAAAACACCTGAAAAGGATATGGATTAGTACTCCTAGGGAACACTTAGTCTGAAAGGGAACGTGTGGTGGTATTTTGGCTATAATTGTCCTAACTTTCATCTAACTGGCACCATTATCAAGATAGCGTAAGGATGAGGTAGCATAGGTTAACCAGGAAATGCAGTTTGAGGATTGTGGCTGCTTACAGCACACAAAATCTTCAGGCCTTGGCGTATCTAAAAGGCAACTCAGCAAGAGAGTGTTAAAGGAAGATATGCAGAGAAATAGCTTTTATGTCCCTCTTTTATGATGTTACCTTTTTCTGTCACAAACACTGCACTAGGATCTCAGCTAGTGTACTTCAACATGACATTAATTATGTCCTTGGAATAACACAGCTGTACATCATGTGAGAGTGTGGGTTGTGTGACACAGCAGAGAAATGCAAGTGGAGCCTTGGTGTGAAGTTAGGTATCCAGAAACTTTTTCAGGCATCTAGGAATGTTGCTTTTGGTGCTTCCAGATCTTCTTTAACAAAATATTTTAGAATCTGTCTAGATTAAGATTTTTTTGGGGGGGAGGGAGGCAGGGAGAGACACAAACAAAACCAACCAAATAAGAAGCAGTAGTGCAGAAACTGAAATTTTAGCGTACATATCTTAGCACACGATATTGCACTTCAAATAAGGTAGCAGATGCATTAATTTTTCATAATTTAAAGAATTTTGAAAGTTTATAATGTATTTGGGTTCCTGCTTGATTTGTGTGCCTTCTATAAGATGAACTTATAAAAGCAAATCTACTTTAGTGAAGGTTTGAATCTCCTAATGCTTTGCTGAAGGATGTCACTAGTTAAAGAAATTATACAGACAGTAGTTTTAAAGATACCAATTTGTGTTATTAAAAGAATCTTGAAATTGAGAGCCTAATGGGACGCATCTCCTTTTTCATCCCACATGCAGCTGACTTCCATTTTGTGCTTGTCTGTCTCTGGACAGTGGGGGTTGAAGTTTTGGTATACAGAACAGAAGACAGGAAGCCTGAATTCTGATTATAGCTTTATTCTCAGGCTTGTCCCTGCACCATTCACACCGCAGGCGTGATAGCTTTAAGGTTTGCTAGTACTGATGTTCTGCTTTAGAAGTGTCTTTGGATTAAAGCATCTCTTACTTCAGTATCTTCATAGCCATTTTATAGTGGTTTTCTTCCCAGGAGATGGTATGATAATTCAGTGGCAGTGATTTGTTTTGAAAATGCTTTTTATTTGGATTTGTAGGGATTTATTTTGGGAGAAACATCACATCTCTTCCATAAATCTGAGGGGGAAAGTGCCCCTGCAATGTTCTTGTGCATATGTTGTGAATGGTGTCCAGCTTCTTTGTTTTTCTGTTCCAGATTCCTGAAGTACATGCTGTTGCCATGTATTTTAATGTTTGAAAAATCAAACCCCACCCTTCCTGAAACCAAAAAAAAAAAAAAAAAAGCAGGACTGTTTTCTGCTGTGCTTTTCAAATGTAGAGTGGTATGTGTGCGTTCATTTGTATGATTTTTTTATTTCTTTTTGTAAGCAACCACAGTATGAGAGCACACTGCTGCAACCTCACATTTCAGAAAGATCAGCCTCCCACCTTGAGGAGCTTGAGCGAAAGATTGCAGCAGCTGAGAATAAGGAATTACAACTCAGTGAAATTGTAAAACAACTTTCAAACAAATCTAGTGAGGAGAAAAAGAAGATGGAGGAGAAAGTAAGTGTCTTTCATGTTCCATATTTCCTTTTGCCACTGTTTCAGTAGCATATGTTTTGTTTACTAGAAAGCAACTTATTATGTGGGTGTCTGAGCTATTTTCAAAACATAGCTAAATTATCTGTGATAGAAAAATTGAAAGTTAATGATTTTAGATGTTGCTAATGGATGAATCTGATCTCGTAGAGAGTGCATCCTAAAAAGTGGTACTAGATAAAACAGTAACCATGATGACAGTTTTAACAAGGTATCAGTTAAACTTTGAAAAAATGCTACTCAGCTCTAAGAATTCTTGTAGCTTGAAGTATTTATTACAGTAAACAAAATAACATTTAAAAACATAGAGTGTGAAAATTAAATCCTTATTTTTAGCATGGTTTGTAAATGTGGCCCTCATGCTTTGAGATACACTTACCAGCCTGTATGTGCCTACTCTGCAAGAGTGATTTGCTTGTGGCTTTCCTAGGATGTTCAGAGTAGACTGTAGTCTGAGACAAGGATGGCTGTGTTCTTGGAACTGTTTTGACAAGGAGTTTCTTTGCAGGCTGAAGCAATTCCCAGATGTAGTTTTGAATGTACTGACAGCCTTCCATTATTGCAAGCAGGAATGTGCCATTGACCAAGGGGTTAGTAATTAATGTTTTAGAGACACATTGTCACTGTTACCTTCTCTTCTTTAGTTACTGGGTTTAGATTTCTATTAATGCAGATTTAAGGAAGAGAAGCAATATGATACAGTGAAGTATCAAGTGGAAAGACAAAGGAGAATGCATAATTAATCTCAAATTCTGCCTTACCATTTCCTATGAGCCCTGCAGTGTGCTTTCACAAAGAGTAACTTTCAGGAAGGGCAGAAATTGCATACTGCAGCTTCTTCCTTTCTGAGCTTTTAGTGCTTGGGTTCCTCGCTGTGAAGGAACTGGTGTGGTGGCAGTGGTGAGGGCCTGTGCAGCAGAGCTTTTGTCAGCAGGATGGTCTGTAGGTTGGACCCTGATTCACTGCGCAGTCCTGATTCACCCCTTAACAACTGTCCATTTTGTGCATTGAATAAAAAACTGTCAAGGAAAGAGGGCAGGGGGGCACAGTGGAAAATACTTTTCCTTCCTGCCTTTTTTCCCCACTTTTTTGACTTAGGTAATAAAGCAAAGTAAGTAAAGTACCAGGAATGTGAACTAAGGTAACACAATATAAAAAAAAAAAATTTCTCCAGGCTGATGGACAATGGAGATGCCTCTAGAAAAGGTATTTAAGAAAGCATCTATTCCATTTTCATGTCCTCTGATCTCATTGTCAGACTGCATCGAAGTCAGGGTTTTTGGCTTCAATTCTTGTTAGTTAAAGTTTTTGGTCCTTGTATTTGGAGTTGTTTTTCTAGTCCAGAGAAAGAGTGTGGACTAAAATATGTCCTAATCATTTGTTGCATATGAACATTTCCATTGGCAAAAAAGTTAATAGTATTTTAACTGTTTGTGTTTTCAGTTGATAAGGCACATGGATTGTTTTGGGCAGAGGTGAAGCAACAGGGGTTTGAGTGAGGTCACGTGTGAGTCTATTACTTGGAGCTGCTGGGATTAATCATTTTTGGTTTTGTTTTCTGCAGTAGCCAAATGTTTCATGCAGCTGAGAGTACAATTTTTGGAGAGTGACCAGCCTCTGCTTCCAAAGCAGGTTTATTCTTTATCATAATCATAAAACATGTACTCTTTTCTTTCTTCTAGCTTAAAACTAGAGATCGATATATTAATAGCCTGAAAAAGAAATGCCAGAAGGAGTCTGAGCAAAACAAAGAAAAACAAAGACGAATTGAAACCCTAGAAAAATACCTGGCTGACCTACCAACACTGGATGATATAGAAGGGCAGACTAAACAGGTAAGTTGAAGGGAGTTTGGTTTACCTTTTGAAAATATAAATAAGCTGTTGGCAAGTCTTTTACTGTTTCAACGTACAGTTTTTTCCACTATCTGTTTAGGAAGAGAAGCATTTCAATGTTTTAGAAATCACTGTAGGTATTAGGATTTCTCATAGTCAGACATAGTCAGACATAGTCAGATAGTCTCAAAATGGGCCTGAGATGCTGCAGCAGGTGCCAGCAAGGCTGTGGCCTGCTGCAAGGCCTTCTGCTGATGTGGCATCGTGTCTGACTAACGTAACCTGTGTTAGCTGCACATTCTAGAAGAGAAGAACAGGCAACTTCAAGAAACTATGGCTGAGTTAGAAAAGAAGCTCGGCGAGGCCCGGTCGCAGTGCAGAGAGAGAGAATTACAGCTGGCATCTCAGAAGAAAAAAGAAAAAGAGCTGGTCACAACAGTGCAGAGGTATGAACAGCTGCTCCACCTGTGCCCTGAAATGGGTGTGCTTTCCCAGTCGATGTCAAGACCTAATGTTATTCATAATCTTAATCTATTACAATGCTAATGACTTTTTTTGGCAAGGGTTTTATTTGTGGCAAGTTGCAATTAATACCACAGAGAAGAGTCTGCCTAGGACACTCTTCACTATTTTTCTTTAAGGATGTGGGACACTACTGCAATGGCATCATAGCCTGGTGGCATATAGAAGATGGAATAAATTTGTGCAGCAAAGGGGCATTGTACAGAAGCTGTCAGCATGGCTGTTAGATAACTGATCCTGTTAGGAGCTGTGGAAAAACTCCCTGGATACTGGCTGATGGGTATGTCAGGGAGGGGTCAAAGCTTTCCAGAAATTGTTCTTACCTTTTCCCTGAGAGTGCAGGTATTTACAGGGAGATTTAGGTGAAGGTAATTTGTTGTCATTGAACTTGCATAAAAATGAAAAACAAATGGGGCAGATATCAAAGAATATTACTGGTAAGACATGGGGACTTTGTTACTGTGTTACATTTTAGATCAGAGGAGCTACTTAAACACTTAACTTTTAAAAAAAAAAAAAGGAAGATTGAAGCAGGGGAGAATCTCTTTTAACAGTTTACCTTCCTGCAGTTCACTGTCCCTCCCTTGGGTGAAGGTGCATGCCACAGGAGTCTGAAAGGTTTCCATGATGAAAGGCAAGCTGGCTGGGTCGCCCTGCCAGCCAAATAGTTGACACATTGTTTCCATCTTACCAATGAAAGGCCTTTTTCCTTCATGCTCATAATCTAGAGGGGGATCATTCTGTCTTTTCTGAAAGCCTACAAATAGTTGGGGTGACCTCTGGTTTCAAAATTAGACAGCAAGATTAGCACTAATAAAAAATGCATTTCCTTTCTGAGAGAAGGTGAGCGGACAAAGGCTGTAGCTACACCTAGAGGCTTGGGCTGAGCTACAGAGGGTCTCATGTGGCAGGAGTGGCTTTGTGCTCTCCCTTATGAGTGACAGAGAACGTGAAGGACAGGCCACCAGTACTGGGCACCACCTCTGATTCTGGACTCCACTTTGACTTGTATGTGCCACACAGAGAGAATCTGATTTTAAAGTTCCTGAAGCTTTTGAGAGGTTTGAAAATTCCTCTGATCTGTGCTGGAGCAGGCTTTGCCTCCCACAGTAGCACAGAGCAACTGAGCACCACAAAGCTTTTCTTTGCTTCTCTCTGCCCTCTCTCCCTACACAGTACTGCTGGAGCTGTGCCTTTTGGGAGACACAGCACACAATCTGGCCCATAAAACCTGCATTCTGCTGCATGAATCTGTCCTTGCCACTGCCATGGCAACTTCAGTATTTAGGGTTTTTTGCATCATTCATCCGCTCTTGGTTTGCTCATTCATAAGGCTGGATTCTGATAGGAACAGTTTTACGAGTCTGGTTGGAAGATGGTGCAAGTTTCTGGTTTTTGCTAGAACACACAACCCTCTGGTTTCAATCAGCCCTCTTAATCTTACTTTTATGTTGAATGACAGTTTACAACAGAAAGTAGAAAAATGCCTGGAAGATGGTATTCGGCTTCCTATGTTGGACACGAAACAGCTTCAGAGTGAGAATGAATGTCTTAAAGAGAAGAATGAGAAAGCCAGTAAGGTTAGTCTGCAAATTATCTGCTCGTGGCATCTTTAACCTTAAGTACTGCATTTCTTTTATTTTTCCTACATTAGAAATAAGTATCTCATTAAAGAATTACACATTTGTTGCTAATTCAGATTACTTTTCAATACCTGTCTGTTTCTGTTCAGTACATTTATTTTGCATGAATTTCATGTTCTTTCAGAATTGAACTTTCTCTTATCATTTACATTTTCAAAGATTCTATTTAAAATCTCTGGGTACACACCTGTAGGCTGATTTTTAGATAAGGATCTAAAGAGATTCAAGCCTTCTAAACTGCTGAATTTTATATTGTAGGTCATAGACAATCAGCAAAATCAGATAGCTGGACTGATTTTAGACATGCAGGTAAGGAAGAATGTATATTCTGTTGTTTACTGTGTACAGTTTTAATTTATAAAAAGAACATTGCTAAAGTTGAATTTTATTCTTTTATCTTTCTGAATAGGAATCAAAAGTAGAACTGCCAAGAACTTAAGTCTTATGGCCTCCAATTGGCCTGTGTTACCTTTCAGGCTCATAATGTAGTCATTATGTTTGTATGGTTTAGCACTTTGCTGGTACTTATCAAAAAGTGAAAAACTGTGCTATGTAGCATCCTTATGCTGCTGGTCTAGTGTTATGTGCAAAAATTGTGACACAGGCAAATGTTACTTTGGGTGTTGTATAATGAAAAAGAAGTTCAACTTGAACTCCATAACTTTTCTGAGGTTCTCAGAAAAGAAGGTTCTGTCCTTCTTTATAGTTAAGATTATTTACATATATATTCTCTTTATATGTCATGCTTATCAGAGATACAAGCAACTTGCTAAATGTATTATCATCAATCTAAATCTTTTCATGTTTCCTAACATTTCTGATCTTTTTCTCACCATCACCTCTATCTTGAGACTGGTGATCTTTGGTGTTTTGTGTGCTTAGCCTGAAATGACTTTAGAGAGCTGGGGTTAGGAAATACTGAGTAGTTGTGACTGTCTGTGAACAGAATAGTGTTCTGTTCTCCAGGACTTTCTCTTATTTTTCCTCTTGAAGTATTTTATATAAGGACAGAAAATAAGATTAGAAAATGGTGTCAACCATCAAATTACTTGTAGACTACAGCAGCTTTTTTTTGTCCTTGGTATCCCCAGCCTTCCATATTCATTACCTGGGAAGTGTTGAAAATTAGTTCATTACAAATTGAAATCCCTTATCAGCACGGAGATGTAATTTATCTTCAGCTCAGATGATCTCATTTTATTCCCTGTCTTCTGCCACATTGTAAACTTATGCTTGAGAATGTATTTCAATTCATTGTTTTTAGCTTATAAAATGAAAGCAAATTCTGTTTCAGACAGCAGTGTATGAAGCAGTACTAGTTTCTATTTGCTTGTAATCGTGGTGAAATGATTTTGATCTTCCTTGTATGGTTTTGCTTCATTGATTTGTTCTTCTGAGTGAGAGGGATTAAAATTCTGGTTGGTCTTGACAAGATGCTGTGCTGCATATGTAGTACCTCTTCAGAAAGAGAAAAATTTTGGATTACAATGATGTTTTAAAAAAATCCATATTTACATGATTAATTTAGATATCAAAAAATTAAAATTTTTGCTACAAAACAAAGACAGTAGAAATAGGTCAGATTATATGATGCCTGTGTTACCCAAAGTACATCTGTCAACCCTGTCAGTCACAATAAACCCAAACTGTGCCAGGCTGGGAGTATTGCCACCATTTTGTGGCAACTTTGGAAAGCATATGGAAAAATTAAGGGTGAAGTACAGAGGATTCATAGCACAATTAGGAACTTGGAAACCGTAACACTGTAGGCTCAGCCAAGCTGTTAAGCACATGTGCTTTTTCTGAGCTTTAAGATTAGAGTAGCAGAGAATGATAGGTGTTTGGTCTATCTTTTAAAAATAAACACTGATTTCCACTTCTAGTAGTTCCTGTTACGTGGTGCAACTCTTGAGCTGAATGTGTGGATGTCGTTTAGAATATTCTAGAAGTTTTTTTTTGATTAGTTTGCAGAGTCATGCAAATTTAATGGCAGATGTAGTTCTGAAAATACACTGGGGAAGGTAATATTTTTCACCTTGTCTTCCCTCCACCCTCAGGAAGGCTGCAGAGTCAAACCTTATGTTGTCATTGACATGATCATGAAGCATGTAGGGCTAATGGGTGTAGCATACCTGGGGCTCTGGGTGTCCCTGAACTTGCTCATCATCAAAGACTGTTAAAATTGGGAGATACTTGGAAGTTGGAAGGGTGTTTTGGGCACTTGCATTGCCCTGTTCACTTCCTGCTTCCTAAATATCTTCTGTTTGGCTGCTGCTACAGATGGAGCTAGAAGGACCTTCAGGCTGACCCAGTAATGGCCATTTTTCTCAGTACAGAGTGTTTCTAAAAAAATAAAGATGATGATTTAACATCACTGCAGGTTCTGCTCATCTGCAAGCACGCAAGAGGAAATGCCTGAAGCAGTTATTTCCTGCCTTGTCCTACCCCAGGGTGTTTCCTTTGCTGTGAGGCAGGACCCTCCTTCCTCCTGCCCTTCCTCCCACTGGCGTGTGTAGCTGCGCTTTCTTGAAGAGCTTATCTTTAGGATGCACATTACTTCAGCACTTCCTTTCGAGGGTCGTGGTGTGGGTGAAAAGAGCAGTAGGTCAAGTGTATGAAAATGGTTTTAAAAACAAGTAGTCCTTTCTGGGTTCTGCCTGCTGCTTCTTACTACTTATGTGAAAATGAAGTAGGGGGTTTTTTAGTTCATATTAAGGCTGTAAATGTTAGCACCATTGTTTTCCAGTTTTGCAGAGTATGATAGAGTTGCTATTCATTGTTAGTATTCAGATAAGATGGTTTGAATATTCCTCTTTCTGAATTTTGTCAGATGACCCTGAAAGACATATCTACAGACTTAAAAGCCAAGTAGTGGAATAAATATGAGTCCTTTTAAGAACAAACGCACCTGTGGTCATGCTGAATTCACTCCAAAAACTCCACTTTGAAATACCTCATGATTTCTCAGTTTCAATTCTGTAGTTGAAGACTGGGGAATTGACAGCAGCTGATTCCATGTTGCAGCAGGTTTTTTGTTTGTTGCTGCTTGTGATTGATCTGGAAGTCAATCATGAGAAGCTGCAATACTGAAAATAGTAATTATTGTATCTATTACAGATGCAACTTCAAATAAGTTTGTTTTTTGCCTGCGGTTTTTTTCAGTACAGTAGAATTGTACAGACTGTTCTATCATGTGTCTGAATGATTTTACAGAGGTTGCTGCTCTGTATCAGCTATCAAAGACTTTCTTCTCAACTGTATAGGTGAGGTGAATTCTATTGTGAAAGGTTGTGGGAAGTCCTGCCTTAGTCTTTGTCTAAAGTAGAGAATGAAACAGATCTTCAGTTATACCTTGGAATGACACAAATGAAGCTTTCTTGTGATGTATTTACTGCTTATGTAAAGTGAAATTGTTTGATTAGAATAAACAATATTGCATAGTTATTTTGGACTTCATGCATTCCTTATTGGGGTAAGGTTTTTCATGCATACAGCCTTCTTGTTTCAAAAGAGATTCTGCTTATTTAAAAGGTTTCATGATACTTGGAATAGTGTGTTAGTGTACAGTGAGCTGGGGTACAGCTGAATATTACCAGGTGAAGCGTGGTAGAAAGTAAAAAATGAAGAATTAGTACAAAAGCACAAAGTAATTGAAACTTAGAAATTTACTGAGGATGCAGTTTTTCTAAGTGCTGATATAAAGCATGAAAATTTAAAATCTTTACCTGTGTTTTCATTCACTTCAGTCTATGCAAGAGAAGCTTTCGCAAGAAAAGTTGATAATTCAGAAGATGACAAATGAGCTTGAGGAAAAAGAAAGGAATATAGAGCAGTTGAATAAAACTCTCTCTGAAGTAAGTAAAAACTCCAGTAACGCACCCCTGACCACACCAGCTGGGAAGAACCTTATAGAATGATTATAAGATCCCTTGGTAGGGCTTTATGACCTTAATTACGTCTTAACTGTCCTGGCTACCATGCAGACGTATAATACATACTATCCCTACCTCAAGAAGGGAGAACTTAAAGGGTGAAGATGGTTAAGAAATGGTAACATGAAACAGTAATATAGAAACTGTCTATTTGCCATTCTTTGGAGAGGTACAGAAATATTGATTATATGTTTGGAATTTAATTATTTTTATTTATATTGTTTGTGGTTTGGAACAGAAAACTTTCTGCTACAGTGCATGATGCAGACTTAACTTTCCCCTTTTTTCCATTTGGGTTTCACAAAGAACCAAAGACTGATGGAAGAGAATGCCTGCCTGAAGGAGCAGATGCGGCTGGTGGAGCAGTCCAGGCAGCCAGTATCTGAGAAGATGCCTATAGCAGACCAGTTGTTCAAGGAAATGTCCCATTGCTTGTTTGACTTGAAAGCACTGTGCAGTATTCTTACCCAGAGAGCTCAGGGCAAGGAGCCTAACCTTTCCTTACTGCTGGGAATCAGATGTAAGTGATGTTGTCATGCCAATGCTTAATAATGTTTTGACACAAAGGAATAACAGTTTAGCTAAGTGTTGCTCAAACTTGCCAGCTGGACAAGCTGGTGTCCTCACTGTGCCGCTGGAAGAGTGGTGCCCGAACTCACGGAGCTCCCTGGAAAAGCTGAACTCTTAGTGTGCCTGTGCCGCTAAATGCATATGACTACACAGGTCCTTACCAAGTCAGGGAAGCAGATAACTGGCTCTTCATGTGGACCCAATCATGGCTGTGTTCACTGCTCTAGAAAAGAAAAATGTGTAGCCAGGTGTCTGTCTCTCCTGAGACATAGTGCACTCACTGTGAGGGTTAATGGATGCTAATGGGGCTTTAAAACAAAAACACACGTCGTGGTTTTTTTGTTTTAAAGCCCTTAGGATCAAGTGGTAGGAATATACATCTGTTGTTTGAAGATGTATATGTCTGATTTGGGGGTGGGGGTCCAGGTGTATTATATAACCCTCATGGTAACTTCATCTCTAGTACTGTTAACGGTACATCTAGTCTTCAGCACTTACTAAACTGTTAAATTTAACCAGGAAATGAGAGAAAAAATGCCCTTTTAAAGCCAGTCACACAAAGTTTGTGTTAGGTCTTTTAACAAGCCTAACAAACAGTCACATTTTTTTTAAATGGATGTATCGTATTCTAATGTTTTCTGAATGTTAATTGGAATTAATCAGGTAGACAGATTGCTGAACTGAACCATCAGCAGGGTGAAAAGGTAAAGTACAGTGTTCTGTGCCGCAAGAGCTACTACACGCCTTCTAGCCCTCTTTTCTGAGTGGCTATAGAAAACTCCAAAACCTCTAGGAAATGACTGTTCTGTCCAGTTTTTTTCACTGCTGTTTTGATTCATCAGACTTCAGCAAGTCTAGATCTTGGTGGAAACAGAAAAGCATGTCTTTCAGAGAAGCACTGATGGGCTCTGAATTGACTTGAAGTTCACATGGTACCATGTTTTCTTGGCTTTTCATCATGCTGAAGTGTGATTTGTCTTGATGTAACTAAAGTGACCTACCTCCTATTTCAAAGAGGATTAGTAGTTGAAGTATTCACAGAGTACAGTTGCTAGAGCTTTAACCTCGGATGTTGTTTTTCGTAGCACTGAGCTGTTCAGCTGAAGAGAGTGAAAATTACCACAGCACAGAAACTCTTTCAAAGAAGCTCTTGGACGTTTGTCAGTTACGGAAGGATATTGATGAATTGAGGACTATAATGTCAGACCGTTATGCTCAAGACATGGGGGACAATTGCATTACTCAATGACAAAACTTCATCTAGTAGAAAACGACTTACTAAATCCTGCTGTGTCACAGGTCTTTTCATTTCTACTAAGGAGCCATATTGGAAGGCTGCAAATAGCCCCAGACATGCACCTGTGAGGGCTGCGTATAATTAACCTTGGGAGTCTGGTCTGGAGGGGAGAGTCAGCATTGAACAGAGTGGTACAAACTGCAAGAAATCTTTTCTCCAAACTACTGAATGTAGGAACAAGCTGTGAAGAATGATTCAGTTGGACACTCTGTTTCCTTCATTAGGGCTCGTTTCATTACTTCACCTAGTTTTTGGAATCAGAGCTTCAAAACAGCCGTGCTGCTACTGCTCTCAGTCCTTTCCTTCATCAAGGGTTTGTGTGGCATTATATGTGTTCTGATATTAGAGGAGAAGGTCGAAGGACCTGTAGCTGTATGTGGTGAAGCCAGAGGTTTCTGCCACTGCACTTCACTCTAAGAATTGCAGTTGGAACAATCTTGGAGCACTACAAAAAGTAGTTGCTATCCAAGTTGTCTAAAAATAGGAATATAGGAAAGATGGTTTTAGTAATGGATTGTTTGTCCAATAGCAGAAAACCCCCCAAGTTTAACTCCTTTATGCAAACAAGTCCATAAAATATAACTGTATCAGGTTGTTTGAAGTGCTCTCACATTGCTGTAAGAAGTTTCAGTAATATGAAGTCTGTGACAAACCCAGAGAAGCTATAAGACATGAAACTGCAGCACAGTACATGGCTGCAGGAAAACAAACAAACAAACAAAACAACCAACAACTGTACTTTGGTGTTTGTATTAACTTTTTCCTTAGGTCCTCTCCATTTTAAAATGTGGCTGGTCTGTGTTCTGTTGCTGAAGGCCTCTGATGAGTATTTAACTGAAGAAAACAAAAACTTGTGAAGAGCAAAACCACTTCCAAAACACACTGTTAAGAAAAATACGTGCATCACTTACGTGTGTGGGACTAAAAGAAGGTTTCAGATGCTTTAAAATGCAAGTCAGTCAACTTACCCGTAGTGGGGATACCAGCAGAAATCTCTTAGAAAGCTTAGCAGTTAGAACCAAGAAAATTCTAGGGTAACATTTTTATGGCAAAAGTGTTAGTATCTTCTGTTTTCTGATTATATTTGTGTTAATGGAAAAAAGTGGTAAAGCAACATATACTGGTTACCAGTTTTAACTTGGTGATATTTTGCTTTCTGTCAATTGTTAAACAGTTACCATTAATGTTGTTTTTATAATTTAGTGGTTTATTTTTTTTAACTATATGCATTTATTTATTTCACAGTTTTCTCTATCCTGAAACTACACTTGGACTAATTTGCGAAAAATAACGTTGCTATTTATATTACTGCTACATGGTGTTTCCAGATAGATTAATCTGGTTCAGCTTCTGTGAGCACTAAAACAGTGTCTAGAGGAAATCGCAAGTGAAATTGTCTAGTGTCTACTTAAAGGAAAAGAAATGAGGCCATTTTATTTTAAATTTCTATGCTCTTTCTGTATGCACGCTGCAATCTCTCCACAAGGGTGCAATTTCCTCTGGTTTTCCTTGTCCTTCTCAATGCTGTGATGGAGGTGGAGTTGGAAATATGAGTGTGCTCTTCTCATTGATGTAACAAGTTTTGTCATGATTGGGGAAAAGGTCTTCTGAACTAATGTGCATTTTAGACTGCAAACAGATCAACAGTAATTATCTAAAGGGGTGATTTATTCTGGAAGCACATTAGCAGTATTAATTCCACATTAATACACATCTTCCACATTGAAGGTGTACTTTTTTTTACTAGTGCAAAACTGAAGACAAGGAACTTTGTACAAATGGGCTGGCATGGTTTTCTGTGCCTCTGACAGTATTATTGGCTTTTGTAACTAAAGCCTCAGCTCGTTCCTTTGGTGTAGTTTGCTGGTTTTGGTCCTGCAGTGAAGCAGTAGTCTTCAGTTTATGGCATCTGTCTCCTACCAGAATTCAACAATAGCATTTCAGATAATAAATGAGAAGCATTAGGGAGAGAGGAAACACCTAAGTTACACATTGTTGTTTGTTTCCTTAAATGGCAATGTTGTACCTATAAAAATTTACCAAGCAACACTTTTTCTAAATTTGATGAAAATAACAAGGAGGTTAATAGAGCAATTAGAGAGGAGCAGGAGATCTTTTTTTGAACTGTTAAGCTTGTCACTTGGCTGGTGTGCCTCCAGTGTCCCTCCTGTTAAAGGGTGATACTGTACTGAAAGCTGAGATCAGTAATTTATGTTTGCAGAGCACTTCAGTTTTTATGGTCTTCGAGTATTAGTTGAAAGTTTCTCTGGAAGGAGGTCTCAATTTATTTGTAATACTTTGATTGCAGCGCTGTAATCTTGCATTGTGATGTTTTTCTTACAGAACCTGTAATATTTATGTTGACTTTAAAGCACTTGATTTTAAAACCCCGTGAGTTTATCTGCCTCAGTCAAATTAAAGTAGGGAGGTAAATGATGGATGTATGAGCCAAAGATGCAGACTACCAACTGACTGTCTACAGTGATGCAGTATTTTGCTTTGATTCCTTAAAATTTGGCCTGTTGTAGTGGTAGCAATTACTATATATGCATCAGTTTACAGATGCCTCTAAATGGAATAAGCTTTGTCTAAGATATGCATGACTGTTTAATTGGTTAAAATGTAGTGTGTGTGTGGTGTCATTCAGCTTATTTAATACAGAGTTGATTAAAGAATGTTAACATTGGAATTGCTTAGATTTAGTCATGACAACTTTTTGCTGTAGCTGTTAGACAATCCCAAGGGCTGAAAAACAACCGCAGGTGAATGGATACTGTACCATTCTAGGTGTCAGCAAATTTGTACAGTAACATTTTGTATAGTTTCAGATTGAATTTATATGATCCTCCAGAAGATATTTACAGTAACTACTGTATTTAAGAATGTACTTTGAAAAAGACACGGCAAGTAAGTGTCTTCGGACAAGCTGTAGAGGATGCTATGTATTTACTATATAGAAGTAACGCAGCTCAGTTGTGTAAATGTGATTTAGGTTGCTGGCCTCTGCTGTGCAGCTTTATGGTGTGATAGTTGTGTGAAATTGTGGAGATTGCTGTAACCACCCACTCAGGCTCCAGCATTTGAAGCTGCTGGTGGTCCAGAAGTCATTACAAGAGCTGAAATTCCATCCTTTTCACTTCAAAAGGTTTCCTTCCTTCCTTTGCCCTCGCAGCCCACCTTTTCTTTCAAATGTTCTTTTGGACGTTTTTCTTGCAGGGTAAGAGCACAAGGAAAGGAAGAAAGCAAACCCTGTCCTCCACAACCTGGTGTCATAGCGTGGGCAGTGATGGCACACTGCAGTCTCTCTGCAAGGGCACAATTTGCTCCAGTTCTCCTTGTCCTTCTCAGTGCTATAATGCAGGTGGAGTTGGAAGTATAATTGTGCTCTTCTCACTGATGTGACGAGTTCTGTCATGAGTGGGAAAAAGATCTTCTGAACTAATCTGCATTCTTAGACTGCAAACAGATCAATGGTTATTATCTACAGGGATGATTTATTCCAGTAGCTAATTAGCAATATTAATTCCACAGCTGCATACCTTTGTGCCTTTTTTGCCTGAAGTAAGTGTATATTCCCCTCGAATTTTAAATAAGTTTTTAGGATGCTGATGACTGCACCTTCTTTTCTTCTCACCTGCCATTACTTTGTTAATAAGCTTTTGTAGTAAGAACTCTTGCATAATGTCTAGAAACAGAAGTACTTAAACTAGGTACTAGGTGTACACTTTGAATGTTAGGCTGGTTGTAGTATGCAGCTTTTTTGAATATGATGCGTGAGCAGGAAACACAAATAATGTGTTTGTGTATATTAATTAAGTGTATCATTAGTTCAGTGGGGAGGAGTGTCTGGAGCTCTCTTCTAAAAGCACAGCTGACATATGTACTGGATCAGTCCCTGAAGACTGGTAGTTTTGTAAATTGGGTTCAATTTTTGAACCGCTCAGAATACCTCATATGTAAATAGAGTTGTCATGACTTAATCACAATGTGTTCATTGTAAAAAGTAAAGGAGCCACTGGCTGGCTCAGCTTTAGGCTTGTTGTTCTTGCCTCTTTTTGTAATTTTTTTTAAAGTAGGGTTTACAGCTAGAATTTTGAATGCCAAAGTTCTATTTATTGAATAATAATAAAAGTTTTCATTGTTAATGACTGGTATTTTTCCACTGGAATTTGTTTGTTGATGTTTGGGATTTGTATCCGCAGAGCAGAAATAAATTTTGTTACAAAAGTAAATTTTTCATGGTTCTCATTTGTTCAATATCTGGCATGTGACAGAAATGACCAAAGCTGGAGGCAAGAATGGAATAATGAAATATCTTCCCAACATCCACTCCAGCTTCCCTTCAATGGTCTGTAGTTCTGCTGGCATACGTAGTTCACTTCCTGTTTTCTTGGATGCTGATTGGAGAGATCACAGGTAGGTCTGTTTAAAAGACTGTTAGCACAAAATAGTAGGCAGAAGTGTTACGATAGCTCGTTTCAAAGTTGCTGAAAGATTGATCAACTTTGGAACATATTGCCCCAAAGCCAGTCACACAGGGCAAAAAAATAAAATTGCATGGTGAAACATACCCAGCAGTGGGTCTGGTACCAAGAAGAGGACTGGTGAGCAGAAAGGAAATGTGTTTTTAATTCCTGCTTTTCAGCTGGAAAGCACAAATGGATGTGTGGTCAGACTGAGCAGTAGTTAGGGCAGTCAGAAATTCCTGTGGCATGAAATACTGCAAGTCAGCGTAACCCAACACAACCAAGCAGCGCTGACTTCCATGTCAAGTTGGTCTGAGGAAAAGTCAAAGGTGAAAGATTTTAATCAGTGTAACAGGAGTCTTCACAAGTGCATAGGGAAGTGGGGTCACCCAAGAAAGTTTTGTTTCCTGACAGTTCCCTATGATAAATCTTACAGCCTGTTTGGAGCATCAAGTGCTGAATGAGCTTTGCATGTAGAGTGGTGTTCCCCTCTCTCCCCCTTAAACTCCATCATGCAGAGCACAAAAGTTGACACTACTTCTTTCCAAAGACACTGGGAAATTCATAATTAGCTAGTGTATTTTATATGGTAGACATCACTTTTCTCCAGCATTGTGACTGAATGGACTGTGATGGACTTCTAACTCAATTAAAAACATTCCGTGCCCACCATTCCATGCCCTGTGTAAATACATGTAAAGGGCTGCACAGATGCCAGCTTTCTGTGAGATTTCTGAGGGTGGCCTTTTGTGAACTGCTCAAAGTCAGGTTTCAGTTTCAAATTATCATGATTAAAGCACTGCTAACAATAGTAGTGGTAGAAAATGTTTTGTTGCCTTTTATTCCACAAACAAAATACAACTCCACGCGTGGATGAAAATGAAGCCTTAAACAATAATACTGCAAATAAAACTGCAGCATCTTGAATGAGTACAGCTTACAACAGCTCAATCTGCAGTAGATGCCCTACGTTATGTAAATTAAGCAAGTCTGCAGGATGTGCTAACCATGCTGGGTCGATTGTTTTGTAAATTAAGGGGTTCAGCATACTTGGAAAATTTCCAAGTGGCAAGGGAAAGCGTATGCTATGAACAATGATACTTAATTACATTTTGGTATGTGCGTATTTCTTTTCCTACTTTGTGTGAGTTACTCCCCCTTGGTGGCAGCTGCTGCTTTTCTCCTTGTTTTCTTGGTGTCACAGGTCTGAATTTCCTGAGTCATGGACTTGAAGCCTGCTCAGTTTGTGGAGCGCTTGATAGGTTAACTAATGCTTTGAGGTGCTCTCATGAGCAGTTTGGCAGCTCCCCCAGGAATGCAACCTGTAGGTACTAATAGACCAGAAAACTGATTTACTGGTCTGTGTACCTGTGAAAGCGTTTGCCTGGAGGAAGGCAGAAGGAAGCCATTGTTAAGTTCTGGTTGAGACAAACGGTATCTGCTGCTGAGAGAGTGAATTGTAACACTAAAGGTTGTTGTAAGAGAGTTTTCTGACTGAAAACCCCTCCTTGAGTGGGAACTGAATAGAATTTAGTATCAAAAAGGCCTATCTCCCCTACATTAAAACATGGGAATGCAGGTAGTCCCTTACTGTCACCGAGGAGATGCCAAAACCCCCTCCCAGACCAAATGGGTTGTATTGAGCTTTGAGGTGGTCCCGGGTGCCAGATGAAGGTATTTCAGAGCCCCACTGCAGTCAGCCTGTGTTGGGGTGAGGGCCAGTCCATACCCTGGCCCAATGCTGGGTCAGTGCCCCGCTACCCCAGCTCCCAGGACTGAGCTCTACCTCGAGGTATGGCAGGAGCCAGCTCCCGGCCCCAAGACTGGTCACAGTGTTTCAATGTGGGCTGAGTCAGAAGCTGGATTTTCCTGGTTTTCTTTGACATATTAATTGCCATTCTTTTTTTGGTGGCTGGTATTGATGATGCCTATGTTGTAGAGCAGGCTTATCAGAGAAATCAGTTTGGCAGTAATTGGAGCAAGAACTCATTACATGCTCTGTAATTATAGCCACTGTCATTAATTTATCAAATTATTTTTGCAGGACTCTGAAATTGCTTTAAGACTTTTTTTAAAATTTGTTTCTGTATTTCTAACCATACATACATGGGCTGGGGGGGACAGGGAGGAAACACCCAGCTGTCTGCTTAGACGTGGCTGTTCACAGGAGCCAACCAGCATACCTTTCTACAGGCAGTGTGGACAACAGGACTTAATGTGCCAATGTATTTTCTAACCTTATGCTATTTTTGAACTCATAATGGTTAAACGAGATGATGCCTAATTTATTGTCAGTTAATTGGGGGCAATCCAGCAACAGGGAGGGAGGGAGCTTTGATCAGAGTGATTGATGACACAAACTTTGACGTGATCTGTCTTCTCCCAATGCACAGACACTTGAGCTGTTCAAGAAGCTGATCTTATGTTGATGCCTTTGAACCCAGTGTTTTAAGGTGGCTTGAAAGAAATGCTGGTCCCTGGGGCAAGTCCAGAGCTGTTGGGCAATCATGCAGCAGGACAGGATGGGCTGGTGAAGACCCTCTGTTCTGCTGCAAACAAATCCTAGCTGTGAGACAGGCTTTTGAGTCTGACACAGCTCACTCTTGTCCTGGAAAGCCCCATTCAGGTGCTGTGGTGGCCATCAATGTCTTGAGCACAACCACCCAAGTCTGCATTCAGCTGAGACACTTGAAAGCTGCCTCCGGATTTTCAAACTGAGCTTTCTCCTTTGGAAGCTCAGGTATGCCATGGCATGTTGATGGCCCTCACCCTCCTGTTAATCCAGACAACATGTTGTTGTCCTCTTTATGTCAGAGCCAGGGTGGCAGGACCCAGTTTCTAGGCTCTTCTTTGATCACTAGCCATTTAACCACTGTCAGGTTAAAGCCATAAAATGGCCACCTCCCAGCAAAATCATCTGTGAAGTATTATAACCACGCACAGAAGATCATCAAACTTCAGCTGCTTGCAGCCCAACTTTTGCCCCCCTTATGGCAGCTCATCACTTTGGGGAGAGACAATAAAGGTTACAGCTGGGAGGGAGCTGGAAAAGGCATACACTGCCCTGCAGGGAGCTCTGCTGAAGGAGGGAGCGCTGCAAAGGGGTTTGATTGATGGCGTAATCCGATCAGCCCCCAGACACACTTCATTTTATACAAGCTGGTGACAATCAGATCATTAGTTACATTATCACCCGCTGCCTTAGTGCCCGTGAAATAGTGAAGATAAGTAATAGGATATTTTTAGTTTAAATTGTGGTTTGAACATTTTAATTAAAAGCCTATTATAATCAATCTGTTTCTAACATCCTTTCCCTCACCCTCATTCATAAAAATTAATTATCACCATGGAGAGAGAGCAAGTGAGTATATCCTGCTCATGGCCAGTGGCAGCTTCAGAGCCTGGGTTAGCCACTGCTCCGGTGGCTGTATGTACCAAGCCAGCCCAAATTGTGTGCACAGGCAAAGCTGGTCATGCAGGGCAGTTTACCAACCTTCCTGTTGCTGGGTATGGCCCATTATGGGGTGTGCTGCAAGTCATTTAAGCAAAAGTGATGATTGCTCAGACCCTGGTATCTTAGACCACTTGGTCTGGCATCCATTTGTGTCTTGGAGGTGAGGGGAGCTGAAAACGCCTAGATTTGCACCAATTTGAAAAGCATTTTTAAAAAGTCCCAAATCTTCCCTGAAGTTCTGCTGCAGTGGCTATGAAGGTCAGCACAAAAATGACCCCAAATGGCTGAGACAGGAATACCAGGCAGCTTAAAACTAAATATTTGCAGTCTAGCTCCAAAACATACTGAGAATGTAAGAATAAATACAAAATTGATAATTTTTTTTTAAAAATTAACCCTAAGTAATTGGCTAAACTGTGTCTTGACCTTCTCAAGGCTCATCACTGATCCCAGCCTGCATAAACAAAATCAGACTGTAACACACATTGCAAGTGGTGACTTTACAAAGCAAAAGCATAAGGCAAATACCTTAATCGTGTGAAGTAAGAACATCAGGTTCAGGGAAGAAATACAGTCTCTTTTGTAATTAAGAAAATAACTGTACTGTTACAGGCTTACAGGCAAATTAACTGACAATTGCAATAGAATCCATAATTCATCAATTTGTCCATAAGGATGTTACAGGAGACAGTGCTGAAAGCCTTCCTAAATTCAAGGTGATATCATCCATTGCTGTCGCCTTCTCCATTGAGCAAATAATTTTGTTGTAGAAGTCTGTCGGGTAGATCATACATGGTTTCCCCTGCATAAATCCATGCTGGCTACTCCCAATCACTTTCTTGTCTTTAGTGTGTTCAGAAACAGTTTCCAGCATAACTTACTGCATTCCCTTTCCAGGGATCAAAGTGAGACTGACAAACTTATAGTTCTCTGCAACCATCTTTCTCACCCTCCTTGAAGACGCCAATAATATTTGCTTTCTTCCAGTCTTCGGGATCCTCAGTGCCAAGACTGTACAGAGATTATTGGGAGTGGCCTTGCAATGACATCAGGCAGCTCCCTCAACACTGATGGGTACATCCCATTGTACTGAAAGATTTGTGCCTCCCCAATTTGTTTAAACCTCACCTGAGTCTCCTCCATGGTGCGTAAATCTTCACTGCTCCATATTCCCAAACCTGGGAGATGTTCTGATCTCTGCTGCCTACAGCTGTATTTATTTCCCCAGCTCCTGAGGGTGGCAGACACTGCTCCAATAATTTTGCTCACTCAGTTGAGTTAAATCTTCAATGCTTTTACCAGATCATAATGC